ATGAAACTGATTTAAGACAAGCCTTTTGAGCGTAGCGTGTGGGAAAATAAATTGTTCTAGTCATCACGAAAGTAGATTTAGCAAGACCTAATTCGTGCACCACGCACCCAGCTAGGAAGGCAAGTTGACTTGAAGGGCTGCGCGTCTTGCAGCCCTTGCGTAGACCGGAAAGACAGTGAACAAGCGAAAAATGAGTATCCTCCACTTCCGGATTTAGCGGGTGCAGCTTGATTTCAGACCACTGCGCGCCGTTTTAATGGCCAATTGGTTGCGTCCACTTCTGCTAGATGAGCGTTTTGTACCTGATAAGAATCTCCAATCACGCCATTTCGGCTCAAATGCAACTGTTTAAAAGTATGCAAAAGTAAGTGCTCAGTTCCAGGAAGCCAGTGTTCATCTTTGCAGGCACGGTTACTAAATGGGAGTGGCAAAAATGGCCTACCCTCGAAGGCTGGAACTTAAAGTTCCAGTTTTTGCATTTCTATTAACAGTATCAATATAGCTTAATATCAAGGGAGGGGCGGCAATAACCGAGAAGAGATGAATACAGCCTGTGGACGCGGTCTTTCATGACTTCTCCAAGATGTTCTTTTTCGTTGCGAAGGTGACTCGATCGATTCCTAACAATGCCGATAAAACCTACGCAAACAAAGGCGTTCCGACATAGTGGTACCACGTATGTCTGTGAGCAATTTCAGCAGCGCCATGCCTGTGTAATACCGCAACCCCAAGACGAAAAAAGAAGAAATCCCACCGGAAGGCCACTTTGCCCGTAAAAAAAGACTAATTGTTTAGGTACATTCGTTTCTCTGACTTCCTATCGAGACTGGGAATGTCATTTAAACAAAATCATGCATACAGCAAAAGCGGTCATGGCGAATGTTGAATTTGGAGTTTTTAGGCTAGAAATAGTGAATCAAGTCCGGTCAGGTCAGGCCACAGGATGCGAACCATGCTAAGCCAGAGTGCATCAAAAGCAGGCCTGCTAGACTGGCAATAATGATAGTGGTCGGAATCACTTATATGCTCCACCCCGACATTTCACGGGAATACAAACACCTGCTCGCCCCGCCCCGACAACAAATATTGTCATGTCCTAACACTAGCACCAACTCTAACCTTAATTGTAAGCCCACACCCCCCTTATTTAGCAGAAAGCCGCCTATATCACTGGCGGCTGGAAGGGGGGGACATAGAAGAGATCCCTAACACGATAGCAGGCGACGAAGGAAAAACTTAAGACGCTGTTTAACTCTCCAGCTGTTAATAAGTAGACTGTAAAGGGAAACGCCCTACAATCAACTAATCTCCGACATGAGACATTCCTAGAAACCATCGTTTTTCCCACGTTGGATAGCGTCCCCTTCGAACTCCTCTTTATACGACAGTGTCTACGAAATGCTCCAAAGGTTTATACACTTGGGCTTGCGGCGGCAATTAGAAAGAAAGGGCAAAAGACCAGCTACAACCAGGGGTCTTGCTGGTGCTGGTTGATATGCAGTGGGAAATAGAAGTGCACACATACACACACAGACTCGGAATGCTGGGAGTGAAGCCCATAAAACTGATCGACGGGACTTTTGGCAGAGCCACTTACAAGGGACTGACAGTTGACATTAGCGTTGGCGTCTAGGAGGGCCTTGACAACATCGTGGTGACCAGCAAGCGATGCGATGTGTAGCGCAGTGTTGCCCTTTTTCGAGGCTGCATTCACATCGGAACCATTGACGAGGAGTTGCTTGACAACCAGCGCATGGCCTTCTTTGGCGGCCAGATGCAGGGCTGTGAGGCCGGTCTAGAGAAGACAGCAAAAGAGACGTAAGAGGAGGCGGAAGCCAGCGCAGGGCGTAATAGTTACTCTTTGTCTGAGGTGGTAAGAGCTCAGGGGTGTGGGTCAGCACTACTGACTTCAAAAAACGGCTGTCAATTTACAAGTTAGTTGGATCCTGGCTAACGCTCGGTCAGGGGTTTAATCAAAAACATACCAGCAGCTGTTATCATGCCAAAGTATTCTACCTATGAAAGTGAATGTGAGGGCCCGGTCAAACAAAAATCGGAGTAGATAACCTTTGCAACACCCGTGCGACAAAAGCACTGCAAAGTGAACATGGTAGTTAACAAAAGCTGGTATCTGTAATGTGCTAGACAAGAAACGTAATGGGTCCCAGTGCGCCTTACAGCGCGGTCGGTGTGCGGCATATACGGGAAATCGAAACCAAACCTTCAACGTCGAACGTCCGAGGGAAGGTTGATTATGCTCGTGGATGCAGTGGAAGAGAAGACCAATGGTGGCAAAACACGTCTCAACGCAACTGCATTGCGCCTTTGGTTCCCATGATATAACTCGGAGCGTTGTACAACTCAAGACGTTGTTTAGATAGGCTGGATATACTTAGTTAAAGCAATAGTGGCAACAGGGAGTTTCCGCGCTGGGTCAATAGCCCAATCATTCAGTGCAACTAGAAGAAGGAGAGCCAGATTAAGATGTTTCGGTCCAGAGGCACACTTGGCAAACTAGCAACAGCAACGGTGTTCACCGATCTAACTCAAACCTACTCATATTGCGTCTTCCCATCAGAATAGGCCTGCGAACGCCACGCTTGGAATATTCTCGATCGTAGTCGGCAAGAAGTAGCCTCGGTGTTCAGATGGTAGAGCTCTTGACATAAATCTGCAACGAAGAATCGGCCTGGATTCGAACCTCACGGGTACGGTTGACTGCCACCGGTAAATATG